GTTTTAATCCAAATGATGCGTGTGCTAAGTGAGTGAACATCAAAGATCACACAACAGACGTGCACGTGCTCTCTCTCGCTCTCCCTACCGTTAAGTAACTTGTGCATTGTTTTACTTGTTTTTGACATATCTGACCAAACTACAAACTTTCCAGTGATGTCTGTGAGAAAGATATATTCACTCAACAAGCTTGCGCATCTGCGCCGCCGCGCGCTCAATCCACTCAGCGTGCTTTGTTTATCAGCTCGCACACATCAGCTATACAGGCGTTAATACTGAATGTTTAACATTATATTCATTGCACACATATACTTTGTAGTAGACATCCTTAACTCCTTTCTGCTGTCTGTTGTCGGTGTTTCTTTGTTTGAATATGGCGCTTATCACATGCTGTGTGGTATCGGCGTATTTTAATGAGTACGAGTACAGGATACCAGTATCGGTGCATCCCTAATTTTCAGTAAGCCCTCAATGTAAAATAATCAGAGGTGTATGCATGTGAATGTACCTGTAGATCTGAGCAGTTCAAGCAGCTGGTCTCTCTTGGAGTACTGGTCCACCTGAACGATAGTTTGCTCCACATCACTGCATGCTCCACCAACCACACCAACAGCAAGGAAAATGTAGTCCACTTTCAAAAAATCTGCAGCCATCCTATCATACAACACATGATGCATCGATCATTCCTACTGAAGCATCACTCTCAATGAATAAGAGATGTGCAAAACATTTTCAAAATCATCTAGTTGTGTGGATGACTATTTGATCCGTTTAAAGCGTGTAATTAATCTGGTTTTAGATTTATTTGACCCCAGTCAGACAAGTTTTTATGGGGGTTTTTACGTTAGACTCACTCTTGTAGCTAGATGAGTGCAGCGAAACAGAAGCACACCGTCTGAGCCATTTTTGAACTCTCAGAACTAGTTTGGACATATGATGGTTTTTGTTCTTTTTGAAACTCTTTGAAACTTTGTAACCTTTTACACTATTTTCAAAAAGCAGCTTGAACATTTAACATCTTTTGTGTTCCAAAGAACACAGACAAACAGGTTTGGAACAATCAGTTTCTGGAAGAATAATTCTTTAAAGGAAATTCACACCACAGTCAGACGCAGACCAACCACTTTTTCACACATTCCAAGAGAAAATAAACACAGATTCAACATGCTCAATCAGCAAAAACAAGTGCCGACAAATGGCAACAGACACAGACAAGGGTAACACCAATCAGACAAAACCTGACGAATGCGTTTTTGTCGGCACAACGTGAATTGGACTTTAAAGCGTGTCAGAGTCAGACCTTTGAATATCTTCAGGGTAGGTGGCACTGAACATGAGGGTTTGTCGATCCTCTTTTGAAGGCATGCCTGGAGATCCCACCAGCTTACGCATATCTGGCTCGAAGCCCATGTCCAGCATTCTGTCTGCTTCATCCAGAACCAAATACCGCAGCTTACTCAGGCCAACCTGACAGAGACAAGTAAAACACATAGCCACATTATATATTCTATCATTTATGAAATCCTTTAGCACATTAGGGGGGGAAAACATTACCTTTCCACGACCAATGATATCAAGCAATCGTCCTGGGGTCCCACACAAAATATTGCAGCCCTTTAACACCTCTCGAATAGTGTATCCAGTATTTATACCTCCATAAACCACCACAGGACGCACACAGGTCCTACACAAGATTCAAAACCACATTTTATATTGCCATAATTTTTAACCTGGAAGCTACAAGCGATATAGAATAAATGAGGGACCTCATACGAGTCCATAGTGTGGACTAAGCTAATAAGGAGTTATGAATCGGAATCATGTATTGTAGAAAGAGCTATATAAATAAAGGAGGTGACTCATAAAATCTGTATCAATACCAGCCCTACTGTGCATAATGTACTGTAGCAAAAATTCAAAAGGCAATTGCAGATTTACTTAGTATTTTTCTAGTGATTTTAAGGGGGATTCATGTCTCTATGGCCAGAAGCATTTAGGCAAAGGCTATGTTCCATATTCAAAAGAATGACATGATTCTATAAAAAATAAAAAAATAAATAAACGCGCATGCAGGCATATTTGAAGATAGCCGTTTCGGGGCTTTCGTAGTTTATGTTGTTTGGCTGCGAAGTGCGAATGAAAAGATGTCTCTTTCCAAACCGAAAAGGAAAGTGGATGAGGAACACAGACAGTTTCAAGAAAGATGGACGTTGCAGTATTTTTTGTGGAGTTTAATGGAAACGCTACCTGTCTGATATGCAAAGAAAAAGTCGCCGTTCTAAAGGAATATAATCTCAAGCGTCATTACCCGACTAAACATGGAGAACAGTACGAGAAGTACCAGGAAGACGAGAGAAAAAGACGAGCCATGCAGTTGCAGAGAGAGCTAACGTCCCAGCAAAACCTTTTCCATAAAGCCAAAAAGGATGCTGATGCTGCAGTTGAAGCAAGTTATGTGGTGAGTGAGTTGATCGCTAAAGCGGGAAAGCCATTCACAGAAGGGCAGTTTATAAAGGATTGCATGCAGAAAGTCGCTGATATTCTTTGTCCAGAAAAGAAAAACTTGTTCAACAATCTCTCTTTGTCGGCAAACACAGTGGCAGAGCGGATCAGCGAGTTATCGAGTGACATTTATGATCAGTTACGCAGCAAATCTAAAGTTTTCACTGCATACTCTGTGGCGCTTGACGAAAGCACAGACATAACTGACAGTAGGTGTAAACCGAGCCCTGGGTATCCTGCTTCTCCTTTGAGAAAATGAAAGCTCAGATGGCCCAATCTGGAATCTTCCCTTTATGTCATCATACGGGGAAAGGTTACCTCCCCTTTCTCTGCTTTGCCCGCCCAAAGAATTTGGCCCGCCCATGAGAAAATGAGCTACTACCGTGCGAGGCGAGCGCAATATTTTTTTTTCCTCGAGACTTGCAAATCATGGCTTGCAAACGAGCAAAGCATGGCAGTTGCCCCGCCTCTCTCCTCCTCATTAGCATTTAAAGCTACAGACACAGAAATGGCACGTCCTAAGGAAAGCTCATTGTGGGACTGGCTCGTAGTGGCTGAAATTCTGCACCAAGGCTGAATTTCGGGAAAGAGACTTCAGATACAGTACTAGGGACCACTTAGGCCTATATAAAAGCATCCAAAAAGCAGCATGTCATGGGACCTTTAGAAACTAATATAAACTGTTATAACAACGATAGAGACACTGCTGTTTACATTTTTTGTTAAGTTTGACAAAAATATTTTAGCAATGGAATTTGAAGTAAATTAGAAATAATGTTAAGTAAATTTTCCGCTTTCTTGTTCTTGAATGTTAAAATGGCCCTCCTATGAGGTGTCAATCACAGCAATGGCCCCCAGCCAATTTGAGTTTGAGACCCCTGGTTTAGTGCAATGCATGAGAAAACTAACGGTCTTGTATGTCAAAAGTTTGTTACTATCTGCATGTCTTTTGTTGCATAAAACTCTGCTTACATTTTTCTGTTTTCATATATACAGTTTAAATTACGAATTATTCCAAACAAAGTCTAATTAAAAAATTACTTGAAGTCAGTGTTTACAGAATGTTTGGTTTCAGCCAAGAAATGTATAAATTTAAACACTACATAAACGTATAAAATCGCTGAAAATTCTAAAATGTCTACCCATATGCAAACTTCCTGGCCTCCAGATAGATCTGATTGATGAGCTCTCTGGTGGGGGCCACGATTATGACCTCGGGCTCCTGCACCTCGCTGAACTTGCTGGCTGCCACTCCATCAGCCATCAGCCGCTGTAGGATGGGCAGCAGGAAGGCCGCCTGAGTGATGGCACAGAGCAAGCAAACAGTCAATTATATAAGTAATTACCATCACTGATAAACCACATCAGAATCACAAATCGGCATTTAATAAGAACAGCATGTCATAGAGGGTTGTTCTTGCCGTTTTTCCTGATCCGGTCTGGGCACAAGCCATCAGATCTCGTCCAGCAGAAATAATGGGGATTCCATGTTTCTGGACAGGAGTAGGCTTCACATATCCAGACTTCGTTACATTCTTTCTCAGTGATTCACAAAGTCCTGCTTCATCAAAAGTCTGTAAGACAGAGTGAGCACATGAGGGACATTTTATTTTGAGGTACTATGTTGAATTTGTAGCCATTTTGCCCTATTTTCATAGCTTCTGAACATGCTATGTAAACAAAACAGCTCGTGGAAATGAGCCTGTGTGTAGACACAATGAAGAATATATTTTTTTCTATCAATGTCTTGTAAAAACAACGGAGATCATTCACAAACACAGGCATCATTAATGCACTACCTGGTTATGTTGTTATATCTATCATCAATATTGCTCATAAGAATTTAAGAACACTAAATGAATTTACATTTACATGGTCTTTGGGGAAAAAAAAAAAAAAAAAAGATTACATATAAATAAATCTGTTTTTGCTGATGCAAGTATGTTAGAAGCAATGCATTGCGATACAAATGACAACATGTAACCGATGCACTCTTTTTTTAAATGATGCATCTCTTCGTTAACTTTTATGCCGACGCACTGATGCGAATCGGTGAATCTTACCATCCTTATCCACCTTATTCTTCCCGTAAAACTGGGCACGGCCATTTGTAGCTTTTATGGGTCAGGCTCATTCGCTTCCAATTATTTTTAGCTGTACAAAACCACTCGTTTTGCTGCTTGATATTGCAAATTGGTGTGTCTTACCATATTATTTTAATGTATTATCTTAATTAGGAACACACTGGTTGATAGTGCAAACAGTTTTACCGTTCACTGCACGTTGTTATTCTTCTCGTTATTTACCTAGAGCGGCTAATGAACTGGAAGTCTCGCCCATAGGCGGATACTGTTGACAGGATTTTCTTGCATTTTTAATACTCGCGTGACAAGTGCATATGTGAATGACGTCAGTAGGCTATAATCGATTATGGTCTATTACTGCATCGATGCAGAATCACCCACATCAGTATCACAATGCATCATAGAAAGGATTAATTTCAATACCCCTATGGGAAACACTGAACTGACGCCATGTCACAAAAATGGCAACATGATCGATTTAGTACATACAAATCGCACTGATACTACAACTTCTAATAGATTACAAAATATATGCACTAATAACTTACCATAATGGCCTTTGGAGGATTGCTGCCACTCACATCCACAAGGATGTCATCATATTTGTCAAAATTAATGCCTGTGGCATAATGGGAAAATATGGAACTCTCCTCTTCTGGAGGGGGAGGCGGCACATAGACAACCTTGGGTCCTACAAGAAAGAGAAACACAAGGTTAGTTTATTCTGGATATAAAACAAGTCAACTATAATAATATCCTGCACTGGCTAAAGCAATGACTTGCACTGAAGGAAAATGACCCACCTGCATTTTCACCTGCTTCTTGATCTGGCTTTTCTGCTGTTGAGGCTGGACAATTAGGGAAAAAAAAACAAGAAAACTAAGCAAACTAAAAAAAGCATAAAGTTTATTACTTATTAGTTACTATAAATGCAGTAAATTACCCTTGGGAAACACTTCCTCATTCCGGCCTCTGAAACCTACACCGTCATTGAAGAGAGTTCAATTGAACCCATAAGATAAACTACTAACGACTAACAAAAAAAAATGAATATTAAAATGTCACCTCCTCTTCCAAAGCCTCTTTTTCCTGTCTCTTCATCGCCACCACCTTAAAAGCAGCACATAAATATTCAAATTAAATGACATGATTCAGTTGTGACTGGTCAAAGGCAGCTGTGGTCAAACATGTACTATATATAACCTAAACTGTATAATTCACCATTGCCCCAGGCAACTAACTTTCTACATAGCTGTGCTAGATTCACGCCTCGTGTCTTCCAGCCACCATCAAATCACATTATAACTACAACCAACCATCACGGAAACCACCACGGAAGCCTCCACGACCTCTTCCTCGGCCTTCACCTCCTTTCCAACCTGCAACAAACAGATGGGCTCCATTAAACATCACGAGTCATAAATAATGTCTAGTATTCGGGAAAAAAAGACATTACCCTCATCTGTGCCATTTTCGTCATTTTCTGGAAGATAAACAAGAACAATGTAAACAAAAACAAAAATTATGAAAAATTGTACACGGATGTAAACAAATTCATCACCTCTTCCAAAGTCTCTTCTCCCAGTCTCTTCATTACCACCTTAAAAACAGGCAATGAACATTAAAATATTAAAATTCATTACACAACTTTACTATGATTGGTCAAAGGCAATGTTGTGTGGTTAAATGTGTATAATGAGCACTAAACTACATAATTCACCATTGCCTCAGGCACCCAACTTCATACATAGCAGAAAGAGATGACAAGAAACGTGCTTGGCTATTTTCTCACATAAATTACAATTCAAATTAATTTATTCCAAAAACCAACCATCACGGAAACCACCACGAAAACCACCTCGGAAACCACCGCGACCTCTTCCTTGGCCTTCACCATCTTTCCAACCTGCAACAAAGAGACGGGGTCCATGAAACAAATAAGAGAGTAAGAGCCAAAAAAAACATGTCTTGTTTAAAAAAAATTAACTCTACCCTCATCGTTGCCATTTTCATCAGTTTCTGAAAAATAATCAAGAACATCATGCAAAAATTCTTATTAAAATGCATACATGCAAGACTGCACAATAACAGTTAAACTGATAACCGTAATTATTTTGCTCGATTTATGTCACAATTATTGTCAGGAATTTCGGTAAGCTATACTGCTTTTTAAATACACCTTCTGATGTTTATTTTGTGCTATAACTAATAATAGAGTCGCCACCCTGGGTCACATTATCATAACTGTGATGGCCACTTCAAGGAAGTAATTTACCATGTATCCTTCTCTAACAGCCTTGTAGAAAGGGAATTCACCCGAAAAAACCCTTGGTGTGGCGACCCATCCCACAGTGCCCTTCAAGGGCGCAACAATGCCATTCGGAGAGATTTAGTCTCACACTCATGTCTTTTACAGTAAAATGATTTAACCCAGAAAGATTTGGAAGATGCATCAAAACATTGCAATGAGTGAAAAAAGCTTTTAAATGACATCAACATTTTGGAGACAGCTAGTGTTCTTTGAGTATAATATAAAAATTGACTGATAGTCTTAAAACCAGACTTCTGTTGAGGGAATGAAGGATGAATGTAATATCACCTGATTTAAAGGTATTTCTGAAGCCTCCTCTTCCTCCTCGTGATCCTCCCCTGCCTCCTAAAAACATATCATATAAGCAATGCTGGTCTAACACGATGTACATAAGCTTACAGCAGATGCACACAAACAACTTTGGATTCAGATTTACAAAGTTTAAATCTGTAGTTCTTTACGCAACCCTCTGAAAAGACTATTTTAAAAATATGTAGTTCTGCACCTCCCTAATCAGGGCTGCTTTACAGTCAATGGTTCTCATTCATTAATAATTGGTTACATTATTCATTTTTATACGCACATCCAAATTTCTTACAAAAGCTTTCCGTGTATCTAACATGGGTTTCTTAACCTCGTTTTAACGTTAGTGATTTTTATTCTTTCGCCTTTTATCACTCAAACAAACATTTTTTTTCATTAATCAACCCTCTACATTTGCGAGTAAATCACTCGCATATGCGACTAAATGATGTCTAATATTAGCCAATTGCTAATAAATTCTCAGATTGCGCAAACGGCAATCTCATTGGCTGGCGCTCACCTATTATCGTCCCTGTTTTGATTTCAGCAAATCAGTCTGAGCGAACGCACACACAACCTGATTAATATTCATGAATCCAGTAGCTCATTAATCCTTGGTGCGTTTTATATTGTTCTTATTAGTAGAATTTGTATCATTATTATCTAATCAGTATTTTTGTTAGTTTTTCCCCAATTTAAATTTTTTTTACAGAAACACTGAATGACCAAAAAAAGCACCACCACCAGTCCGAAGTTCAGTTAAAATTACTAATATGCATTAATACATGGTTGTCAAGTTTTAATTCTAATTACAAAAGTTCTATCATTAAATAATATTGATTATCATATTATAATGCTTGACTGACTGATGTTAAGAGTGTACTTTCAGATATTTATAAAACATATATATTTATGTTTGTAAACATTCATATGCAGTTTTCACACAAATTTTGTGTACAATGTCCTTAGCTAACTGTGCTAAATATTATTTGGAAAGAAATGTGGTCCACAAGTTAATTCAACTTCACTACAAATTTGTAATAATTTAACTACAGCACTCCTTGAGTCCTTGTTTTTGATTGACTAAAGCAGCTATCCCACCCACCCCCGAAAAAAAACTGGACATTTTGTATGTCTCTCGAATCAAACACACCTGATTCAATATTTAGGCTCATTGGCAAAGACTACAAGAATTGAAATGGGCATCTCAGCAAAGGAAACATTCAAAATGCGCAGTGTAGGGGCTCCATGAACAGGGATGAGAAACACTGCTCTTAGGTGTTGATGAAACGCTGTCTGTGTGAACGCTCTGATGTAGTTATGCTTTATCATTATTTAATAAAAGTTCACCTACTCACCTCTGCCCCTGAATCCATCACCAGCAGTTGTCTTCCATGAGCTGCCATCAGCATCTACAAACACAAAGACACACTTTAGATCTGATTTAGAGCTGTATCCTTACATTAGCATTCAGGAATCATAGTTTCAAATTAGGGATGGGGGAATATCTTATTATTTGTGATATACCGGTAAAGATTCTCCCCACGATAAGCATTAGTCTTCCCGCAATAACGATAAAGCCTAGTTGTTGACATATTTCTGTGTGCGACCGTGCAGGGTGACATGGCGGAAGGCGGACGTGAAATTGAGGAGGAATATATCGCTAAACGAGGAGCTTACAGTCTGGAACTGGTTTGGTCAGGGCTGTACAGTGCGACAAAAATCGGTCTGAGCCTTGAATAAATGTACTACAGTAGCAGTTTTGCATGTGTACGAGTGTTTACAAACCTGTTGTCCAACAAAGCTATCATTTATTGACATGCCTTTTCTCCAAATTAACGTCATAACATCAGTCGAGTGTTTGAAATAACTTTGATCAGACGTGGTTTCATATCACAGAATGAGGCAGAAATCATACGATTTTATAGTATTATATACAGTGATAAAGGCTGTTGATTAGCATTGCATTATAAATGTACCTCATCCTTAGAAAAATACCCAAGATTGCTTGAAGAACACAGAAAAACCATATATTGTCACAATTGTATGTTTATTGTCTTCAAGTTTCCTCAGTTAAAATTTCTCTATCTGCGTTTTATTCAGCTACACCGATAACAGGATACCTTTGTCCATATTAGGGATTTCCTGGAGCATCATCAGTGCAATTGCTTCTGCGATGCATATGTGGAGTTTCTGCGCAAGGGTGCCCTCCGGTTTCCGGTATGACTTAAATAGTCATTACGTGTGTACTCCGTAAAGCTCACATCACCAGGGTAAAAATAGGAAAGATAATACTTCTCTCTAAACAAACAGGATATTTTTTTTTTGTCTTAGTGGATGCATAAGTGGATTCCCTGAATTATCGTCATTGATGTTATCACAATAAATACCAGAAATTGCGATATATTTTTAAGCCCATATCGCTCATCTCTATTCCAAATCACAATAGAATCTGATATATACAATTTTAAACTTTCGTTAATAACGTGAATTGCTTAATCAAGTAATTATTGCTTCTAATAAACTTGTGACAACCAACACAGGGCTCCAGACCACTGACTCCCAAAAACATAATTAGTAGCCAAAAGATTGACAAATTACAGAATTGCTCAGTGGTTTAGAAGAGCTTTGTTTCAATGAGCTAAAACTCTTTTTACGGATTTTATACAATCCGTAAAGATGCATTTCTCAGGATCAGGATCGTCGTCTTCATCTTTGCGACACGGACTCAGAAAACACTAATTTATTAATAAATAATTCAAATATCTCATTTCCCCCCGACACATTAAAGGTAATTACTTTTGCTGGGGCTTTGCGGCACGCTTTAGCCTATTGCGTTTGTTTTTTGCTGTCATGTGCAAGGATATGTTTGCAGATTCTGTACTGCACATGACCAATTGACTCACTGTTTGCCGTGGTAATCAAATCAAGACTCTTCCAAAATACAGCTTTTCCGAAGCATTGGGAACTTTTAGTAACTCCCCACGCTCCAACTTCTCCCTGATGCTGTGCATGGTCAACTGTCACCTATATGCTAATGCGTGTGTATGTGCGTAGGCAATGTATAATATTTATAATATAATCAATATAATGTGTGCTCTGCGCATATATGGCACAATAAAAGGAGAAGCTAAATGAGCCCGAGTCCGACCCGAGCCCGATCCAAAGAGAAAGGAAAAATTAAAATAGCATCATATGACCCCTTTAAGTTACATCAGACTTCTCAATTTTAGGAGATTAAATGTTTATTTTGTCCTCCACAGTTTACTATTGGATAATGTTTAAATAAACCTTGTGGGTTGCATCAGACTGCTCCATTTTGTTTGTATTTATTTTTGTCTTATATTAAGTATCCTGATATACATAATGTTATGCATAAACCCCATTTTAAAGGCATATTAAAATGTTCACTGTATAAGGCATAATTTTTGTGATTATTTATATAACATTATTACATATGTTATATAAAGCTTGAAGAATCAGAATCGGCTGATCACCATGACAAGAAATCTGTAATCGGTATCGGCTGCAAAAATCCTGATCAGAGCATCCCTACTAGTAAATTTTAAAAGCACATTTGTAGCACATTTTTGTTGCATTTGTGACAATTTTAGTTGTGTTCTGGAGCCTTGCAACACAGAAATTCCCTTCAGGATTCCAGAACAAATTCATAGAAACAGCCCAAGAGAAAAATGGAAACAAACCTTCATTGTTTGCCTTCCCGTTTCCTGTACTTCCTACAAACAAAAAGCATTTTGTGAATGGTTACTCGCACACAATTTACACAGCGCAAATAAACAGTTGCCACTCCTCTACTGAATGATTAACCACGTTCTGTACACATCCTTCAGTAATTTACAGAAGTGCAAAATGCATTTTGTTACTGGATTTACTCTAGGTAGTGGAATTTAGAGACAGCATCTGCATGTGTTAGGACTGAATTAACCCTTTCGCACGTGAGTTTAAAATATTCTAGCTGAGCCCCCAGCGTGAGTTTTTAGGCGACCGTTATTT